AGGTGGAGTTTTACTGCACTTGCAACACTAAAAGGTCTAATATTTGCCTATGATTAGAGGTGTTACAAAAGAGTAACAAACACAAAAAAGAAGGAGGAGAGATAAAGACGATAGATGTTTAGTAGGAAAGAAGGAGCAAACCACACCAGAACACCCACCAACCATCCGCTTGCGTGCGCTTTGCAGCCAGAATGTTTGCAGAGAGAAAGGGGGTCTACCATGAAGGTGTATGGTATAGCATAACTGGTCGCTTTCAAGGACAAGCGGGCTAACCCAAATTTCGGGGTTTTCAATATAATCTTGACCTACACCAAAAGTGGGCCTCGCCCTCCCTTTATAAGAAGTTTGGTTTTATTGGTGTTTATATTTGTTTGGTTACAGAGAAAACTTTTCTAGTCTCTTATTAAAGAAATTGAACAAAGGTCCAAACACTTTACCTTCGATTTTCTCAAAACAGCATTTTTCGGGATAGCCTCCTTGTGCTTAAAAGCGACCAATTGTAAATCTCATAACAAGTCTATGCCGGAGTCAATTTTTGCTGAACGGAGAAAAGCAGCATAAACCATGGACTTAGTCTAATATTTGCTTTAGAATACGCTGCAGTTTTTCCTCTTTTCTCGCTACAACTGAGTGCTAGATCAACACATGCGGGAAAGTCTTCTTTGTTACGTTATGGATACCAAGAACTCAAGTTTCGCCCTTTTGGACTAATGGACAGTCTTCTTTCTTTTCTTTTTCTTTTTTTTGGGACCCTTTCCAATTCTATCATGTGGCACTTTTGTGTTTAGTAATAACAACAAGTGTGTAGCATTTTGGATTTTAAAATTAGCTGTTAGCCTTAGAAGTAAACACACAACAGAATGTTTTACATATTAATAAATAAATGAATAAATAAATAAATTATGTTACATCACTCTTAAAAAGTTTATTGGTAAGTTACACATCTAAGACTTGCCATAGCCCCAACTAACGAACAGTCTAGTTCTCGGGTCTTATGTCTATGATCTGATACAAGTCGTTTGAGGAAAAAGTCAAAATACAATGCCATTGCATCTTGATCATTGAATTGTTAGTACACGGAATACACCTCTGCTATATTGAGGACACCAAACAAGTTGCAGGTTTTATATCTGTTTGTCTATCTGTTTGTATGTCTGTATGTATGTCTGTCTGTCTATTTGTTTGTATGTCTGTCTGTCTGTCTGTCTGCCTCTGTCTCTGTCTCTGCCCCTCTCTCTC